CACCTGACCTCATCCCAACCCTGTGGGCATATTTTTCACCCAAGAAATTTGTGATCTCGACAAGAGAACCACTCTCCGGAATGCCGGCGTGGGTGGGGAGGTGAGGGTACACAGACCTCGCCTTGTGCGGGAAGCCGGCGTCACACCCTTGATGACATTCTGCGCCTGACGGCAGGTGGTGCAGACGGGGGCCAGGCCTTTCTGCTGCCCCCTTGTCACCTTGTCTTCTCCTTTCCAAGGAGACTAAGGTCAGCGTTGATGTGGCTGATGTCCCTCTGGGGCATGTCTGGGACCCTTCCCAGGAACGGGGTCCTTCAGTGATGGCAGCATTTTCCGGGATGTCCACAGTCAGGTTGTTGGGAATGGTCTTCGCCCTCACAGTGAAGCACCAGAGAGCTTTCCGGGGGATGCTTTTAACTGTGAACTCAATTCCTCATAGGTCCGGGGCCATCAGAAGACCTGCTTCGTGCTGGTGGGTGGCCGCAGTTTGCGTTTCTGGTGACGGGTCCCTTTTCCTGAGCTGCCGTGTTCTTGTGTTTGTTCCTTATGGGTCTGCAGGGTCGGTATTGATCTCCCTGTTTTATTGCTGGTATCGGTCATTGGTGACTGTTCTCTCTTTTTCTTTGTCAGTCTTGCTAGAGACGTGTCGATGGTAGTAATCTTTTCAGAGAACCAGCGATCGTTTTCACTGACTTTCTTTGTTTTTTGTCCTTCTGATTTCAATTTTATCGACGTCGGCTCTTTATCATTGGCTTCCTCCCCTTGCTCTGGATTTACCCAGCTCTTTCCCCAGCTTCCTCACGTGGGTTTTAGATGATCAATGTGAGCCTTTTCCCATGTGAGCATTTGGCAGTAGAAATTTCACTCCATGCGGCTTTAACGGTTCCCGCAAATCTGATCTGTTGCGTTTTCTTTGTCACTCAGTTGAACGTACCTTATCCCTGGATTTCCTCTGACCCCTGGATTATTCAGAAGTGTGTCGTTTGATTTCCAGTTGGGAGATTTTCTCGTTGTATTTATGCTATTAGTTTCTAGTTGGACTCCACTGTGCTTAGATCAAGTTCTCGGAATGATTTTGATCCTTTTCATTGGGCCCAGGTTGGTTTGATGGCCCAGGACAGGGTCCCCTGAGTCCCCGTCCTTGAGCCTTGACGGGAGCGTGTGCCCTGCCCTGCTGGATGGAGTGTCCTGTGAACACTGGCGAGAACTGTGGATGGACAACACTGTTGGACTTGTCTCTAGTTCTGCGTATTTTCTCATGATACTGTTCAGTTGTTAAGGGTTAGTTAAGGTGGTGTTGCAGACCCGACCAGAAGTGTGGGTGTGGCCACTCCCCTTGAGCTCTGTGGGTGAATGTCACACACCTGCCCTTGTGTCCTTCCGGGCGCATGTTATGAAGGGGTTTGACCTTTTTGTCCTTGGTGATTTTGTTCCCTCTGGAGACTGATTTATCCGCCAGCGTTGCCTTCTTTCTTTTGATAGTTTCTCTTTATTGATTTTAGAGAGAGGAAGGGAGAGGGAGAGAGAGATGGAAACATCGGTGAGAGAGAACATCGATTGGCCCCCTCCTGCACGCCCCCCGACTGGGGAATCACGCCCACAACCTGGGCCTGTGCCCTGACCGCGAATGGAATTGGCGACCTCTGTGCAGGGTCGACGCTCCACCACGGAGCCACACCGGCCGGGCAACGCTGCCTTCTTGATGCAGTTCCCACCCTTTTGCCCTCCACCTGCCATGGTGCTGTATTTGAAGTGAACTTTCTATAAACAGCACACAGTTGAGCACTTTTAATCCACTCAGTCGATGTCTGTCTTCCTTGGTATATTTCGCCTATTTACATTTAAGGTGGTTTTTCTATATCTTGAGGCTTACATTTCACATTTTACTTTTTGTTTTCTAGTTGTCCTGTTTTTTCTCTGCCTCCCCCCACATTCCTTTAGGTCACGTTGATCTTTTCAGTAATCTATTTTGATCTATGTATAGTGTTTTCGAGTGACTCTCTTGCTAGTGTTTTTAGTGCTCCGTCTAGATATTACATTAAATATACATCAGTTTACTAGTGGTGTCATTTTACCCGTTCGAGTGCATACAGGATACTTACCTCCCTCTGTGACAGTCCCCAGTATTTATTATAATTATTTAAATACTTCCTCGGCCCTGGCCAGGTTGGCTCAGCGGTTGGAGCGTCAGCCCGTGGACCAGAGAGTTCGGTTCCTGCTAAGGGCATGTACCTCGGTTGCAGTTTGTCCCAGGCCCTGGTTGGGGTCGTGTGGGTGCAGCCACTTGATGTGTCTCTCTCACGTCGATGTTTCTCTCTCTCTTCTTCCCTTTCTCCCTCCCGCTCTATCTGAAGATAAATGCAAAAATGTCCTCACGTGAGGATAATGTGTGTGTGTGTGTGTGTGTGTGTGTGTGTGTGTGTGTGTGTTTATATATATATATTTCCTCGGCAAATGTTTAGGCGCACTTGCTGAGGCTGCTGATTTCACTCGTCACAGGTGAGTTTGTACTTGTTCATCGAAGGATTTTTGTCCAGCTGCTTTGCAGTCTTTTTCAGGCAGTACTAACATCTTGTCATCTCAGGGTTGGTGTCTGCTGTGGTTTTTCTTCATTCAGTTTGAGATCTCTCTGGTTCTTGGGATGACAAGTGATCTTTGGTTGAAACCTGGGCATTCTTGTATTATATTATGAGACTGTGGATCTCATTAAACCTTGTGTTTTAACTGGCTATTCCTGGCACTGCTCTGCTAGGCTGGGGGTGCCACTCTGTTACTGATAGGTGGAGGCAGATGTCCGGGTCCCTCACCTCTGCTGACACCTGAGGGCAGGGTCCTCGTCCTTGCTGCTCGGCAGGGGTGCATGGGGGCCCAGCTCTGCACAAGGTCTCTACTAACATGGTGATGGTGGGTAGTTCCCCCAGCAGGGATGAAAGTCTAGCAGACCACATGCCCACCAAGGGCAAGAGTCTAGCAGGTGCCCTCTTGCCCTTGGTGGGCATGTGTAGGCAAGTCTGCGGTTTCCCGTGGTGGTTGGCGGGAGTAGAGCTGTTGTGTGTAGAGTCTGCCCCGTTGCTCCTTCCTGGCCCTCAACAAGAGACACCGTTTGGTGGGCTTCCCCTGCACCTGGCTGTTCCTGGTTGCTGGCTGATTCAGCATCAAGTCAGACAGCCCCGCACGTTCCGTTCCTCGGGCCCAAGGTTCCGACTGGGCTTCCCTCTTCTTTCCACCCTTCAGAGCCTTCTGCTTGTATAACCTCCAGGGTCATTAGTTGTGCTTAGTGGAAAGAACAGGAAGAAGTGTGTCTTCTCCAAATTTCTGGAAGCGGATGCTGTCTTCCAGGGCTGCGTCTCCTCCACGTTCAGTGGAGAGAAGTACGCGGGGACATCTCAGCCCCTGGGTCTGCGTGTTTGTTGTTTTATCCCAAGGCCCAGCTCCTGCCTGCTCCCAGGACAGCGCAGCGGTCCGGGCCGGGCTTCAGGGTCCCTTACCGCCCTCACAGAACCCTTTATCCTTGGCCAGCGGTGGTGCTAGAAGGACCGAGCCCTCCTCACTGTCCCCAGAACTGACACACCTCAGATTCCTGTGCTCCTGAGATAAAAAACTAAGATTGAAATTCTCTTATTTAAATTAAATTTTTTTTTTTTATCATGGGACATTCCGTTTGGCTGTTGATTGTCTGTTTCCAGGTAGATGTTGCTGCTCAGGCCGTCCCTCGGGGACGCTGGTGAAGCTGGAGCACTGTGAACCCACAGCGCTCGGCAGGGACCGTGAGAGCCACAGACGCACACAGAGTCTGCGGGTGGTTTTTAGTTGCTTTTAGCAAATGGAACCAACTTGGGTATTATTAAGAACGTTTAATCCTGAAAGAGGCATAACAGTGACCACGGGGCCGGGTCCCCCTGCAGCGGCCGGTTCTCTAAATGTTGTGTTCCAAACAGCGCCCAGAACAGGTTTCTGGGGAGGCCGGCTGAGGGGGACATTTCCCAGCAGCTCCCACTTTGGGTAATGCCGTTGAGCCTTCTCAGGGTTAGAACTGCACCCGCTGTTTGAATATTGCCATTTGTACATGTTTTTAAAAATGTTAAATTTGCATTTGAAACAAGTATTCAAGTGTGTTCAGGAAGGACCTTGTGTCTCCTGAGCCGCGGTTTCTGTCCTGCCGAGCATGCGGGTGCTCAGCAGGTCCAGGCCTCCTTGCACGCACACGCTCACACGCACAAGCGCGGGCCGTCCTGAGTTGGAGATTTTGGTAATGTGTTTCTGTACAGGGCATAAAAATATATCTCTGTAATTACATGATATTTAGTGATTAGATAATTATGGATAATTGCATGGGGTAGTTCTAAGTGCTAAAGTGTTACCATAAGATCTAAAATGTACAAATTGCATAATAATTATTCTGGGGAGTTATTTGGTAATTCCGAGCATAATTATCATGTGATCTGCAGTGCGTGTAATTAATACATAATCACACGGATTTTGCCTTCATAACCACTTCGCCCTTGTTATAAATAAGGCTCTTTGTCATAACATTTGAGTATAAATACAATGTAATTGGCTCCCAGATACAGTACATTAAGCCCCATGATAATTGCGTTCATAGTGACAATACCTCTTATTTCACTCCAAGCGTGGGGCTCTGAAGTGGGCTGGGGCGGGGAACAAGTCACAGGGTGGTGGCGAGGGGGCAGTTGTGCGCTCGGTGAGACCGTCTTTGCCACGACCAGAACCGTCCCAGGGAAAAAGGTTCACGTCCCTCGCAGGGACAGAATCTCTCCTCTCACCGGGATACTGAGCCTGATGGTTCTCATGCAGTGGAGCGCCACTGCACTCCTGGTCCGAGCCTCTGCAAACCGGAGCTTCTGTGGGGAGACAACTCGTCAGTCAGCCGCAGGGCCCGGGCGGGCTCGCCCACAGTGCTGGGGGCGGGGGTCCCCGTGACACCTCACAAGCTTTGGCTCACTTCCAAGTCACACGTGGTTTTGGCGATTTCCCCACAGGTTTCACGTGGCAGGATGACCCCGCCCAGCACCTGCTGGCCCAGGAACGGCCGCACCTCCCCAGAACCCACCTGCGGCCTCCTGAGGCTGCCCACCAAGCCAGGTACGTGGACTGGGTCGTGTCTCCTTGCTGCCCACCAAGCCAGGTACGTGGACTGGGTCGTGTCTCCTTGCTGACGGCACAACCAGCATCCACCAAACCTGTTTCTCTTCTAATGTAACACAGAGCACCACCGTCTTCCTGGTGTGGAGGTTCCAGAAAGTTGGGGTGTCTGTGAGGAAGAGGGGTGCTTCCTTTCCCCATTGTGTCCGAGCCCATGGGAGAAGGATGCACAGGTGACCCTCCTTCGAGATGCCCTTCTCGCCCATGGACACACCAAGGGTCCTCCCTCCTCTCCCCCGAGGTCCTTGGAAAAGTCCTGAGACTCCGGAACCTTGGTTGAAAGCAGAGAAGTCAAGAATTCTCGTTTCCCATGAGAATTGTGTTCAGTTTAGTACAAAAAGCAGAATTTAATCATAAAATCTTCCTGTTCCCAAATGCAGCAGCTGATACTGAGCTGAATATTTTATTCTGCACCATCTCCTTCCCTCCCCACCGCTCACTGCGGGGGGTGCGGAAGTCGAGACACAGGGAGGTCGAAAGCTGAGTGCAGACACAGACCTCGGTGGGCCAGCCGGGACGGCCTCAGTGCTGGGCCACTGTGCTGTGTCCTTCGTGTTTATAACGAGGGGAAAGGACTTTCTCTAAACACTGAGTTTGGAAAGTGTATTTTCCCCCCGAGGGATTATTCTAAATCCACAGCCTTTTGTTAGAAAAGTCTCAGGAACAGAAAAATGGGTGCTCATGTCCGTCTGACCGATGAAGTACCCTGAGCCACCAGATGTTATTTCCAAGTCCCGTGGCACGTGAAGGGCGTGTGCTCACGGAAGACACGTTCACCGTGCCAGACCTCGCTGGCCAGACTGAGCTGAGGGCAGGAGCTTTGTCTGTGTGTCTCCTGTGCCCAGAACGTCTCCCCAGCGGCCTCCTTCATCACAACAGTGTGCCGTTGCAGTCTGTGAGCGTACGTAAGACGGTGCTGTTAAAAGCACACACACCAAAACCTAAGTCAAGCTGTCTTGAATGAGCTCAGACTCTCCACACCAGTCTGTAAACGGCACCAGGCGCTGAAGCACCAGCCACTTCTTCCCGCTCCATGAGGATTCACCTGAGGGTCGTGCACCCTCCCAGCAGCCTTGAGCACCACCCAGGGGAGGGGTGGGCTGGGTGGCTCCGGAAGGTCGAAGAACAGAGGGTAGGAGAATCGGGGAGACCGAGTGAGGAGCAGCTCCTGATGTGCTTAGGAAGGTAGTCAGCGTGATGAAGTCACCCTGCCGCCTTGCGTGTGACTTTCTCCAGGCCAGTGTCTGTTAGGGAAGGAGGAGGGAAGGCAAGTAATCACTCTCACGGCTGAATATGGATGAGTAGCTACGCCCACTGGAGTCCAGCCGACGTCTCCCTTCCACAGGGCATTTCCAGGGCGCCCTGGACTCAGTACATTTGTAATTGTCCACAACCAGCCAGGGCGACAGTCCTCGGCGTTGTTCTTACAAGACTGCTGCTGGTTAGGAGATGAAGCCCAAAGCAGGGACCCATTTGGGGGGCGAGCTGGAACAGTCTTCAGGCTGACTGGTGGAGGCACCGTGTGGACACTCGGCAAAGCTCTGCTTGTGGAAGGAGCGGAGGACCCAGGACCCTGCGAGCTCCTGAGACCTGGAGGAGAGGACCTGGAGGCCACAGGGCATGACGAACCAGAAATGTCACGGAGAACGGGGACCACAAGCAAATCCCGGCCCCCAGTGATTCCTATGTGAGGTTAGAGTGGCCGAGAAAGGGATGAGAACAGGTTCCCTGTGTCTGCTTTGCCAAGATTCTGTTTACAATTTGAATTTTTTCTTTCTCCAGCAATTTGGGTGACAGCTTAAAGCATCTCCTATTATCTGGAGCCTGCAGGTCAGGGCACACACGTGGAAAGAGTAGTGGAGACCTACGTGGAGCCACTGAAGTAGAAAATGTGTACTTACAAAGTTTGATGTACTTCCTGCCAAATGACAGGGCCAAGTCAGCCTGCAAGTTAACTGCTCCAGTGTAGCTCAACACGGTGATGGACAATGTGTCACAAATAAGGGCAAAGTCAGCCTGCAAGTTAACTGCTACAATGTAGCTCAACAGTGATGGACAGTGTGTCACAAACAAGCAGCCAGCACAGGAAGATGAATAAGACTATTTAAAGGCAGGTTTATGGGATGGTTCTGTCTGCATTCATTAGCAATTAGTAAGAAAAATGGACACAGTAATAGAGGAGTAAATTGACTTTGGTTAAATTAGACAAACAACACAAGACATGAAATTTTATCCATTAAAAAAATAGGGAGCCCTGGCCGGTTTGGCTCAGTGGTTAGAATGTCGGCCTGCGGTCCAGAGAAACCAGGGTTCGGTTCCCGCTAAGGGCATGTATCTTGGTTGCAGTTTGTCCCCAGCCCTGGTTGGGTTGTATGGGTGGCAGCCACTCGATGTGTCCCTTTCACGTCGATGTTTTTCTCTCTTTCTCTCCCTCCCACTCTATCTGAACAAAAAATGGAAAAATGTCCTCAGGTGAGGATTAAAAAAAAAAAAAAAAATAGGGAAAGGGTCGCATTTGAGATGTGAAGAACTAGGCTCCTGGTTGTGTATGTGCCTATGGAGAGGGAGCCAGGGTCACTTAAAAAGTCATGAGAAAAAGAAACAGAACAATTCTGTCCATGGAGACAATAAACACAAACATGAAGATTTTTCTGAGTCCCAGCTTTCAGGAAATGCGTACAGACCGCGCACCTCACACCAGCGATCTGCTCCTCTGGAGACTCAGCCTCCGCGTGAACACAGCGGGGAGCCTGCTCTCCATGACCCGAAGTGGGAAATCCACGATGAGTCACCGCGAGAGCCCGCCTCACGGTGAAGACCCGCACAGAGGACCAGAGCGCCATGTGCGGAGGGGACCCGCAGCGCCCACGCAGGCGCTGTCCAGACAGACCAGCTGCCGGCCGTGACCTTGGAGGTCCCACCGCCTTCTCAGTGGGCTGGCTGCCCCTTTCCTCGAGTTCATGCTCTTTCCAAGTCCCTCCTGTGCGCGGAGAGCTGGAGGACTAACATTTCTGCATCAAAACACCTCATTTTCTGAAGCTATCATAAAACTTGGTCATGCTTGGTATTATTTTGTTGTAAATAAAAGTGAAAATCAACCAGCTCTTTCTCAATACCAAACCAGCAGAGAAAGGATGGAATGAAATGAAGAAGATGGTGAAGGCGCCTGGTCCTTCGCTCGCACCCCTTTTCTTGAGCCTCGTGTTGACCTGTACCCTCCTTCTGGCCACCGGATGTTCTTGTCTGACACCCAGGGTACTTCTGGGAGAAGACACCAACAATACGAACTTTAAAACCCAGCATTTGCTGAAGTGAAGATCCGTGCGTTCAGTGTGCAGCGCCCCCTACAGGCAGGGCTGTGCCAATGTCAGGGAGCAATTATTATCATTAATTATTCTAAAATCGCTGCAGCACTGGACACCTGGTCTAGCGAGAGCAACGTGAGGTTAGGTGCGGTTGACGGGGAAATGTGTCCAGTTCTTCCCACACAAGCAGCATTTGTGGTTGTCGGAGAGAACAGAGACTGTTATGTTTTCACATCATTTAAAAAATGTATTTCCTTAAAAGAAAGAAATACGACCTTTTCTTTCAAATACGCCCGTAATTTGCATCACTCTCATTACACCACAGTGATCAGTTCTGTTGTCCTAAGTTCACTTTCTGTGATACTGTTTTCAGTATCAGAGGCACAGTCCCTGGTGCTAGAATAAGTGTTCCTTACCAGGTCCCCGATGTGAGTGTTTGGAGCTAACGCCATGAACCCAGAAGTTCATGGATGACTTCGGTTCGTTTATTCCACCAGCACCTACTTTCTCTGCATCTACGGTGTCAGGCCCTACTGTGAATTCTGGGGTCGGAGCCGCAAATAGGGGAGCTATGGAAAAGTGTGGTTCCTCCTCCCAGGCAGCCTACATGCCAGCAGAGGGTATCTGTCAATAAAAAGTGCATATTTACGTAAAGGAGGGAATTTCAGCTAGTCATAAACGCTAAAAATAATAAACTAAGAGCATCTAATGGGCAGTGACTGGGTGGTCGGGGGAGGCAGCTAAGACATGAGTGACAGGGAACTAGCCTATGGTTGGCCTTTCTAGCAATCCCTCTGTTTACCTTTTCCAAGGATCCCAGTGGGTGGGGTCGGAGCAGCAGGGACTGTCCACCCCGGGGCGGGTGCAGTGGGCACACTTTCAGGTCAAGCTGGGGGCTGCGCTGATGTGCAGGCAAAGGGCCGAGAGCAGCAGGAGGTGGTGATTCAGCCTCGAGTCCACAGGTCTGTGGCTCAGCAGCCCATCGACCACGTGGTGCTGCCACTCACAGATGTGGGCACGCGAGACACTCGAACCCCAGCCAGGGCGAGCTGCCTGGCCAATGCCCGGTCCTCGTGGGGCCGCTGAAGCCGCCCCACCTGCATTTCTCACGGTCCAGCAGCGGGCCCAGCGGGGGTGGCAGCTGACGGACGCCTCGCGGCTGGTTCATGGCTCTTTTCTTTCAGGGGCTCAAAGCCAAGTGCCGGTGACGAAAGGGGGTACAGTCCGGAGAGCGACCTCGCGCTGGCCAAGGCCCTTGAGCACTACCTGCCGTACCTGGAGGCCCTGTCCCAGGCCGCGGCCCCGGATGAGCTCCCCAGGATGAAGCAGGACAGACGAGCCGCTCAGGTGACCTTCGCAGCTCTCTGGGGTCTGGGTTGGGTGTCACCCGTGGGATTCTTTTTTATTGAGATTTTTAAAAAATTTATTGAGGTGACATTAGGTAATCGGATCATGCAGGGTCTGAGTGTACATTTCTCAGAAACGTGATCTGTATACTGCGTCATGTGCCCACCACCCAGTCCACCGGGACTCTGGGTGCACGCGGGGTGTTTCCTGTATCTTCAGTGGAACCTCAGTGTTCCTCGTGTTCCGTCCAGGCTGGTGGGCCGTAGAGTGAGGGGTGGGCCATGTGCAGAGCGGCGTCCCCAGGTCCAGCAGGGGCTGCCCACCCACCTGAGCCCCTCCGTGCTCCCCGCTGCCATCGGGCGGGGGTCCTCGGGTCTCCTCCACTGGACAGGCCCCGGAGCTCCAGAAAGCCCACCATGCGCTGTGCAGACAAGACGCCTGGAGGCGGCAGGGTGTTGGGCCCACTTTGGGGAGGGACCTGGGACAGCAGTGGGCCCTCAGCTGCCAGGGAGGATGACAGAGACCCTGCTGTGCTGGGATTAGGTGCCCGGCTGCCCCTGTCCCAGAAGCCGCTCCTCCTGGCCGCCTGGCCCTTGTGGCATCTGCGTGGGCGCCAGGCCCGGGCACCGCCTGTGCCGGCCCCGGTGGAGGTTCCCTTATGTCGGCGCCGACCTGCTCTAGAGCCGTTTCTGGGTGGAAGCACATTCAAGAACACAGAGAATCAGCCCAACGGACTTCCTGTGGGAAAGTGTGGTTTTTGCAACAGCTCGTCTCACTGGGGCCCCGGATTGAGCTGCCTGGGTGAGGGCTGGGTGCTGGGCATGGTCCTCGGGCAGAGGACCGTCCGCACCCTGAGGGTGGTGGTGGGGGACTTGACAGCGCGGCTTACACGTCCTTTCTGGACGTCAGTTCTGTCAGGCCGGCAGGAGTGACTGTTGGGGGGGGTGCGTCTGGCCGTGTCCCACTTGCCCTCAGGCTCCCCCGGAGCCCCGTCAGACAGCCGTGGCTCTTGGAAACACGTGGGAAGCCACCTGGGCCACCTTTACAATTACGCACCTGTTATGAGATGCTGAAACCATTTAAACCAGTGCTGGGCTGGTATGTTTGGGCCACATGGGCTCCTGGTAGAGCCCACACCGCGGATGAGGCCTCAGCGTGATGTGGGGTCTGAGTGAGCCCCGCGACACACCAGGGCCAGCGGCGTGTCCACAGAGAGCTGCACCCCACCAGGTGGCGCCAGGGGAGGTGTGGGCGGAGGTGAGAAGCTGGGTCACTTCCGCACCTCGGGGGCAGCACCAGGGAAGAGACATCTGTTGTCCCGCTGCCTCCTGGAGCCCCTAGTCCATCAGCCCCGTGTGAATGGAGGGGCTCCATAACGAGGCCTGAACGCACCCCTGAGCTCACCCCGGCTCACACGGGACAGGCGGCCGGCAGCATGGCCAGCGCTAGCTCCTCCGTGTCCCACTGAGAGGGACAGTGGCCACAGGATTCCCTGGAGCATCTGGGCGTCCTGAGTTGTGCCTGGTTCTCAGAATCCAGCCTGCTGTGGAGGTGGGGTCTTCCGTCCTCACAGACGTGCAGGCACAGGGTCTGGGGTCCTGAAGGGGGACCGCAGGTCGGGCAGGAAGGGTCAAGGTCACCAAAACCTGGATTGTTGGCCAGACCGAAATGCATTTCAGAGCCTTTTGTGTGGACTGCGGGAGGTAGCTCGGCGGGGCCCTAAATGGTGCTCACTGACATCACCCAAGCACTTCCTGTGAGCCAGCCGCCCCGGTGCTGTGGGGCGGACAGTGGGCGTGTCCTGGGAGAGGAGCCGTACACCCCGGGGTGGGCACAGAACCAGCTCCCCACTGGCTGTGTGGCTCCAGGACCCTGCTCAGCCTCTCTGTCCTCCGGGTCATCGGGCCATTGTTGCAAAATGGGATGACAATGGCCAGTAAGCCTTTGCGAGGACCCAGCCAGAAAACACGGGGAGCCCCAGGAGGTTGGTCGTTAGCAGTCGTTATTGTCATTGTCATTCACAAGATGTCTTTCAAAGACAAGATGGGAATTAGGTCAAGAGCCTGAAAACCGGCAGCTGCACCCTTAGTGGGGTTCTCCACCCTACAGGAGAATCCGAGGAGAGCACGTGTGCTCACGGAGCAGACTCATCGGTCTGATCTGATGCACCGCTGCCACCCAGGCTGCCGCGCAGGCCGCCGCGCAGGGCAGGCTCCATTTGTTCAGCCCATGGTGCACGTGGAGGAGAAGCGACACCCTGCAGGTCCTGTGCACGCTGGCGTCTTGGGTGCAGACAGACAGGAGACGTCCTCCCCCCACCCCACCCCTGGTGTGTCTCCCTCAGGAGGGACAGGAAGCGTCAGGCTGGGCCTCAGCTCCTGCTGTGCCTTTTCCTGTGATGGAGACGCATCGTGTCCCCAGGCGCTGGGCAGGAATAACTGGTAAGACGGCCCGTGTGCGGTCCATCTTTGGTGGACAGTTTTGGTGACCAAGGATGGGAGGGGAGAGTTGTTAAAAGTTCTAGACTCAGCAGTAGGAGCAAAAGGAAGTGAGCTGACATTTCTCTGTGGGGCAGCTGAGCACCTTTCTGCACTGGACGGCGACAGACCCGACTTGTCGTGCTGGCTTCCTGGGCCGGAAACAGGGACGTGCCCTGAACCCACCATCACGCGTCTCTTCAGTCTGGTTATCGTTCGAACTTCACCCTCATATTCGAAGGAAAACGTCAGATGTAGAGTAGAAGTTGCTCCCGGACAAGAAATGGCATGAAATTCACCTGGAGGGTACTGAGTGGGGCCCTCGGTTCTCTGCCACGTGTCCTACCGTTTGCACTCAAAGCAAGTGGGGGCGGGAGCGGTGCTGTGGGTCTCGGGTGAGCGGCTGTGAGCAGCTCCCTGGGAGACAGAGTGCTGCTTCTCACGAGGAGAACCTCAGGCCCGTGAGTGTTTCTGCTACAGTCTCATCTGCCAAGTGCCTGTTGGGGGGGGGGGGGTTGAGTTCTCTCCTCCCCCCTGCAGAGTCTAGTTTGACCCTCGGACATCACCAGCGCTGGGATCCTGCCCGCCATGTCAAATGTGTGACTGGTGTCCGCGGGGACCTTTTACCCCTTCAGGAGCTTACGACTGGGGTGTTGAAAGGGCTGAGCTCGTGGGTGCGAGTCCACAGCCCTGACACACCCAGGGTCCCTGGGATACGTCTGGGGGAACAGCGCCCCATCCCTGCCCACAGCCCGACCTGCTCTCCAGTTCAAGAAAGGGAGTGGGAGGGGGGCTGGCGCTGGTCCCATCAGCAGCCACCTGCCACCTCCTCCCAGGCCTGGCTTCGGTGGTGTCGGACGCCCGCACCTGGAGCGCTGGCCGCGCAGCGTCCCCGGTACAGGTGGTTTGTACCTGCCCTCCCACAGTTACTGAGGAGCCGCCCTGTCCCTGTCAGAAGTGTCCCGGTTGGAGTAGCCGATTCTCCGGTCACTCCAGCAACCACGGCCATTTCATCGCGGGGCTCACAGGGCTGTTCAGAGAGTGAGCCCGTGGCGGCGTTTTGGCTTAGGGGGTTTTCCTCTGTGTAGGAGGGAGGCTTCTCAACACTGCAAAGTGCATGAAAACCTAGAACCCATCTGTCCCGTGTCCAGTGTTCGAGTGAAGAGAACGCTCTCAGCCGTCTATTGGAGACACGAAGACCAGACCACGTGTAGCACCAGATGTGACCGCGGCCGCCATGAGGCCCCTGCCCACCTCGGCCAGCAGCATGGGGGCTGTGCTTTCTGACCCCACCTCCTGGACGACCTGTTTTCCTCGGAAATTTAAGCTCTGTGCACTGCTGAGGGGCCACCCATTTCTGACGCATCGTTTCATCCATCCCTTTTCTCTGTGTATCTGTCATCAGAAGTCTGACTCTCGCAGAGGCAGAGAAGGGCTCTGACTATGTCGTCTGGAGGCTCTCAGACCACCCACATCAGGACAGACCGAGAGGGGGCGCACGCAGTCCCCTCCTGCACCCGCATTCACCAAGCTCCCCGACCACTCGTCGGTGCGGTCGCCCCCTGCTTGTGCCGACCACCGCGGGGCCGGGTCAGTGGGGTGAGAGAGAACACTGAGCCCCCACTCGCTCCACAGTGCTGAGCAGGGCTGAACCGAAACCCCTGCTTTGGCCATGAATGAACGGATTTCTTTCGGAAACGCTGTTTTCAGCATTTCAACATGCAGGGCCTGTGCCAGGTGCCGGGATCAGAAAGATGGAAGTTAGTCGCTGCCCTGGGGGCGGGAGGCAGGCGACACAAGGGGCTAAAGCAGAGCAGGGCTGCAGGGAGGTGGGGGTCGCCGAGGGCTCTCACAGGAGGCGCTGCAGACACAGCTGGCAGTCACCCGTGAAGATGTGCAGAGGGACTTAAAAGTCAGATGATCAAGGGACAACCCAGTGCCACCCTAACAACATGAATAATCCAGGTGAGTCCCTGGATCACAGCCGGAACAAAACACGCTCAGAGCTGAGGATACGAAGAGCCTGGATGAACGCCATGCAGACAGCGATGAGCTGGGAGAGCGCGGCTGCTCTCACACGGAGGGGCGGACAGGAGGGGCGCAGCCTCAGCTCAGGAGCTGCTGACAGCGCGTGGAGACTGACGCGAGGGGCAGAGTCCACGAGACAGTCCTCGGGAGGGTGTGAGAAGGGGCGGGCACAGAGAAGTTCTCCCGAGGAACTGCAGGGCTTTCTGAACGACCTCAGTGACCCTCTGAAGGGACAGGGCGGCGGGGGGCAGAAAGGTCTGTCGTGAGGGTGCAGAAAGGTGGACATGTTGGGTTTCATCTGAGTCAGAGAGAGCGCCCGTGGGTCAGAAGACAACAGCGGTCTGCACAGCGCCGTGGGCCTCAGAGCCGAGGCCCCGCCCCGCCGAGGAAGAGGCCCTGCGCCTGCCCTCAGCCCGTGGCCAGCAGTGCCTGCTCTGACCGCCTGGCAACAAGACCAGCATCGCTTCAGCCGAGTTGCGTGGCGGCGCCCACTCA